CCAAACTTTTAAAAGGCGAACCATTACCTCAAGAATTAGGAACAGAGGAGAGGTATATCATATCAAACAATATTAAAATCATAAACCTACTGTATTTATTATGCATGAGCAGTTAATTATACAAAGTTTAACAGATTCAACGAATCGCGTGTTGAAGAAACGCCTGCCGCTGAAGCCAACGCTAAGAAATTGCCTGTAAATCAGCAACACTTAAAAAACGCATGGGAATGCTCTCAAAGGTCAACAAAGGACGATTGGCATGAATGGATCCGCCGTTTAAGTGTTGAATTACTCAAAGAGTCGCCTTCCCACGCACTTAGAGCATGTGCAAGTTTGGCTGGTGTCTATGTTCCCCTAGCAAGAGAACTATTTAACGCAGGATTTATATCATGTTGGTCAGAGTTATACTATCAGTACAAGGTAGTTTATTATTACTTGTTATTATAAGTTAGTAAATTATAAAACATAGATCTGTTCAGCTATTAATTTCCATATTTAGGATGAACTTGTCAGCTCTCTAATGTCGGCATTAAGAGCGCCAAATATCCCTCCTGAAATTGTTTCAACTATTTTAAATCTTGCTGAATTCATGGAGCATTACGATAAACCACTTCCAATTGATATAAGAACACTTGGTAACCATGCTGAAACGTGTCATGCATATGCTAAAGCGCTTCATTATAAGGAATTAGAATTTATAACTGAATCATCCACCGAAACTATCGAAAAATTGATTCAAATCAACAACCAGTTACAACTTCCTGACGCTGCTATTGGCATTCTTACACATGCACAACAAACTCCTGGATTACAAGACCTCCAGTTGAAAGAAAATTGGTATGAAAAACTTACCCGCTGGGAGGATGCGTTGGCTGCTTATAATAAGAGACGGCAAATTGAGCCAAACGATTTTGAAGCAATTTTGGGTGTTATGCGTTGCCTACATTCTTTGGGTGATTTCGATGGGCTATCAGAACTTGTTCAAGAAAAGTGGCCCGATGCATCAAATGATATGCGCAAGGCAATGTCCACTTATGCAGCTGCAGGTGCTTGGTCTCTAGGCCAATGGAATTTGATGGAAGATTATATTCCTACAATCAAATCAGAATCTCCTGATCGATCATTTTATCAAGCAATACTTGCTTTACATAAGAACAAGTATGATGAAGCAGTCCGTCATATCGATAAAACGAGGGACCTTTTAGATACTGAACTGACTGCTCTTGTTGGAGAGAGCTACAATCGTGCATACAGGTAATGTGAATGATGTATTCGACATTTTATGTTATATAACTTTTCTTATATCAATATTTTGGTTTGAAGTGTTGTCGTTCGTGTACAAATGCTGGCTGAACTTGAGGAAATAATTACATACAAGCAATTTGCCGACCAACCTGATAGGCAGGCAACCATAAGAAAAACATGGATGAAGAGGTATAATAAGCATTTACTTTTATGATACATTTTTATGATTGTATTTAAAGCTACTTTATAATATAGGCTAAAAGGATGTCAGCGTAGTGTTGAGGTTTGGCAACAGATACTTAAAGTACGGGCACTTGTTATATCTCCTAAAGAAAATATGGAAATGTGGATAAAATTTGCAAACCTATGTCGCAAGAGCGACCGTCTTGAATTTGCTGAAAAGACATTGAAGCAACTTTTAGTTGGAGATCAGAAATTAGAAGTAGTACATCCTTCGGTAATCTTTTTTATACTGTCATTTTTGATATGATTTTATTATTCTGAAATAATTTACAAAAATATTTTTTTATGTATTTTAAATAGATTTTGGCTAGGGCAGCACCTCAAATCGTTTATGCTTATTTAAAATGGATGTGGGCTAGTGGAGTTCGCGACGATGCTTTGGGCTTCTTGAAAGACTTTACGACGCGAATGTCTAAAGATCTTCATGTAGGAAACAAAGAACTACTTGCTCGCTGTTATCTTAAAAAGGGTGAATGGCAGAAAGTCTTACAAGATGATTGGGATCCGGTTCGTTATTGTATTAT